TTCGGGAGAATTTAAAAGGGATAATTAATAAGGCGTGTGCCAGTAGTAGTACTTGGCTACAATTTAATAAGCGTGTGCCAACACTTGGCTCCAATTTACACAAAAATTCCATTCATATTCTCTTTATCAACTTTGTCCATATATTCTACTCACTTTGTTTTATATATAAAAGTAATGCACATCCAACTTTTATTTACCTTTTTTTATCATATGAAATATTATGTATAAATCGGAGAAAAAAAATACAAAATTGGTACTCATACGCATTCCAAAAATTTAGCCGGCAAAAAAACATTATATATTTCCGGAGATAAAACATTATATATCTCCGGAGACAAAATCCTACATTAGAATTTTTATTTATTTATTTATAGCATTTTTGGTTAGAAGTTGGGAAATTAAACAGTGAAATTATAGAATTGTAAGTATAGTATGCTACTTGGTGACAGCTTCCTATGCTTGTATATATAATACACAACAAATATTTTTATTTTTTTAGATGCGTACAATTTTATATAATAAATTTACGATATATACATACATACAAATTTTCGGAATTGCAAATATGTACTACTTAGTTACACAATGATAAGATATATGAGTCATCGAAGTCTAACCAAAATTTGCCTAAGCTTCTGTCTCTTGTCCCCGAGACCATTGAAAGAGTTAAACTGATGACATGATCACTTATCACACGAAGTAACACCAAACTGAATAGACCTTTTCGTATACATCCTATCAGTTAGTTCAATTGCTTTATAGATTAATCAGTATGTTCTTTTAAAAAAAAAAATTTATAACTTTTAAAAAAAAATCAGTATGTTTACCTAGTTACCACTCAAAGCGATTAACAACGTAAACTTTGACCAGAAATCGCAGTTAAAGAAAAATGGAATATGAATATGAAGTATTTGCGTATTAAAGCAAAATCATATAATAAACAAAAAAACGTATTAGAGACGTGACGTAGTCGCTGAAGTCACAATCAACGTAACAGTCACAATTAGCGAAACAGTTTACACGACAAAAGTGGGCTACGTAGGATTCCCAATTAAGATGCAACATTTTATTAATTATTAGTTTAATCCTTCATTTGTCTTTTATTTAGCTTTTGT